CAAGACGACAAAACAAAAGCTAAACAAAGGAAAATTTTGTTTTACATAAACTAGCTGGACTATAATGGTTTTATTTGTCACGTAATTATTACAGCCATTCAAAATTCAAATATTACGGTAAATATTTCGAAATGAGAAATTTAATCAAATTTTCTCCTTTATACGAAGTTAAATTAACGAAAAAAATCCGTAACTAAAATCCGAAGTCGAATAGGAATCCAGAATTAAATTTTGAATGTTACTTTTATTTTCTACAATAAAATATCCGTTAAGCATGCAGCATACTATTTGGGTATTTCCCTTTTTTTTCACAACATTCAACTCTTCCAAACTGGGATTATACAAATGTAGTCTTAAATAAAATAATAATAAGATGAAGGGAAGAAATATATAAGAATGCCAGAAGCGCGAAGAAAATAAAGCTGTGGATGAAGCGTACTCGTAAATAAGCTAAACTTTTACCATTAAAATTTCAAAAATTTCTTGAAATAACCCGCTCCTCTTCCCTATCCGAGCCTCTCACCTCTTCCTCTCTTTTACCCTCCCCAAGTATTTTCAAACTAACATTTTATCATTCTCTTTCTTCAGTTCAATAAACTCTTCTTCATTCTTCTTACGAAACTCTTCGGTGCGTCTCAGACGATCTTCGCAGTCCGAGAGTTTATCCTTGAACTCGCTACATTTTCTCTTGCAATCCTTCACTTCGTTGTTTTTGTCTTGCAGTGCTGCACGTACCAGTCGAACGGTATTAAAGTACGCTAAGAAACCATCTGAAACGTAGCACATTATCACTACCTTTCTGTGCGTAATTACAAATAACAATGGAGGACGCCTGAGTGAGAGGAAAGTAGGATGAATAAAAGAGGACGAGAGTATACTGAAACACGACAGCCAGTGGGAAGCGCATATCGGGAGAAACCTAAGTAATATTGAAATAAATAGTAACGCGCACCAGACTGGCCGGTGCGACCATGCGTTATGTGCAGTTTAGCTTATCGAACGATTGCCTATTAATGATTTTCACTACTTTTACTTTTGTCTATGCAAAAATAGTTCAAAAATCGGAAAATAGTTAAAAATTTCACGCACCAGCGCATGAAAGCTGATTTCGAAACCTTGAAGGGTGAATATCTTTTCGTGATTCCCGAGTTAATAGTTTACCCGCCAAAATTT